AATAGGAAAAGTTCTCAGCTGACCCAGGCTAGGGAAGCTGAGTTTTCGGTCTCTGGGCCTGGATGATATTCGAAGTGGACTTTTTAACCGTAGGATGTGGGGGTTCTTTTGCAGTTCCTTGGAGACTGGAGTTTTGTGATGCATGCTTCAGCCTGCCCTGGGAATGCTCACCTGCTGCCTGTTTACTCTTCCTGCATCCCCCAGGAGTGCTGGGATCCCTTCAGGCTTAGGCAACCCCACAGGGACACATCTGCTCCTTGGGACACTCATGCTTCCTTAGTGTCCTCCAGCTCTGGGAGTGCGGGCAAGTCCAACACAGAAGCAATCCTCCCTCCTTCTGTGTATCATGTCATGGATTTCCCCAGGACTTAGCACCTGCCAGTCCCTCCCATGCAAAGCAGACATGGCTGAGCCTTTCTCACTAGGCTCCTTGTGGGGGGCAGACGCTGAAAGCACCCCCACAAGCCTTCCCGAATCCTCTCCCCAACCCTGCACACTGAAAGAATCCTTTCAGTGTTCCACATTTAAAGATACAGCTGAAAAGGACCGTGTGAAAATAAATTCTACATAATGTGTTATACTGCTCAAAGTTGTGTAGTTTATATAGTTTTAGGTGCTACTATCAAATTTGGGGTCAAACTCAGTTTAGAGCAATGGCAATATACATAGTTGGGAGGTTTTTCTCCTTTGAAAACAAGGCTTGCCTCTAAGATCTCTCCAAGTTCCAAACCTTTGAGTCTGTGACCTCCACTGAGTTATATAGCTGGGTGCTTTTCTTTCCAGATGAAATGACTTCTATAAACTGCCAGGTAAGTTCCCCACGCTCACTGCTCTTGACTCACTGCCACTGTCATCTGGCTCTAGTTGTGGCCATGTTTTCTTTGAGGTCCTAGAAATGAACCATAGACACCTTCTAACTTTGGAAAATAATATATATATATTATATATATATTAAATAATATAAAATAATATATATATATATTAAAAAGTCTCTTTTTTAAAAAGATTTTTAAAATTGATTTTTAGAGATAGACACATCGATTGGCTGCCTCCTGCATGCCCCCAACCCAGGCTGGAACCATGTGTCTGTCTCTAAAAATTAGGCTGCGACCCCTTGGTACATGGGGATGACAATCAATTGAGCCACACTGGCCAAGGCCACATGCTCTTTTTATTATAATTAATTCTTTTGAGGCCACGGTGTTGGGAGATAATAGAGGAGGATTTAAACTCTTGTAACTATTACAAGTTTGAATAGGTATTTTAGCTTGTCTATAGGGCCCTTCTCTGTCACTGAGGCTTCCTGGTTTGGTACTTGAGAGAGAGAATGGCTAAGCAGGGCATCTGAGCTGAGCACCAGAGTTTGTCATAAAATTTATGTTTTATTGTCTTTTCATATTGTTAACAACTGCAAAGGTTTATAATCTTTGATCCTTTTCCTTTGATCTATTGAAAGAAGATCGGTGCATGTATGCAGGGAAACCCACCGCTTTTGGGAAGCTGGCACCTCAGCACCTCGGATTGTTAAGCGGTGGATTGTAAGCATGTACTTCAGCATCTGAATGTGACTTCTGTCTAACCTCTCCAGGCCATTATCTTCAGCAGAGTGCATGAGTCACAGTTCACAAACCTAAGTATGTCAAGTTGACAATCACGGTGGCGACTGTTTTTGGAGGCTCCTGTAGCTAGCTAGCTCTGCGCTTCTGGGTCATGCTGGGTTATGGAAATCTTTGGTAAAGCCGGGACCCCATGGGCCTCTAAGCTCATGTGTACTAATAGCTCTTCCTTTCAGATGTCATAGCTCCTTCCATTAGGACATGAGGAATGTCTATTTCGGAGCTATCAGGCTTCCTTCAGTCTCATCCTCTAAATGCTATTTTCCTCAATGAGCACAGGCTTTTTTTGGAAAGCAAAAGTCAGTTAAATCTAGTGAAAGCTATTTTTAGGTAAGGAAGTGTAGAGAGGAAAACAGAGGTGGAAAAAGACGCTAAGGTTCAAAGCATTTTTCAGCCATATTAATTCATTCTGAGGCAATTACACTTAAAAATTTAAAAACCCTGAAATTAAGAATTTATTATTTTTTGACTGCAGTTTTAGGTTCACACAAAACTGAGGGGAGGGTTTAGAGATTTCCCATAGATTTCCTGCTCCTTCCAAATGCGTAGCCTTCCCATTACCAATTTTCTCCACTAGAGTGATATATTTTGTTACATGATAAATCTACATTGTCATTGTAATCACCCAAAGTCCACAGTTCACAGTTATTTATTTATTTTTTTAAAGAGAATAATTTTAGAGAGGTATACTACATTTTTTGGTATGGAAAGATACTCACAACATTATTTTGACAAGTTAAAAACTGTCTGTCTGGAAGACTCTAATGTTTAAATAGAAACTATATGTCCATAATAAAGTTGAAACGGGGGGAAAAAGTCCCTGCGTCTTATGGTCCAAATATAGCCTACACATATAACGTATTTTTCGGACCATAAGACGCTCGGGACCATAAGACGCACCAGTTTTTAGAGAAGGGAAATGAAGAAAAAAAGATTCTGAAACAAATAGTGTCCTAAAATATTTTATGTGCATTAAAATCCAACATCACAGTCATAAACACATGTAATCAACCCTGTAAAGTAAACAGCAGCATTTAGAACCATTTTAGAGCCGGGCAAGCACACAGAGACCACACAGAGCTGGGCAAGTAAAAAAACTTTTTTTAAAGTATATGTGTAGGCTATATTTGGACCATAAGATGCAGGGACTTTTTCCCCCCACTTCTGGGGGAAAAAAAGTGCGTCTTATGGTCCGAAAATAGCCTACACATACGGTACTTTAAAAAAAAAGTTTTTTTACTTGCCCGGCTCTGTGTGGTCTCTGTGTGCTTGCCCGGCTCTAAAATGGTTCTAAATGCTGCTGTTTACAGGGTTGATTACATGTGTTTATGACTGTGATGTTGGGTTTTAATGCACATAAAATATTTTAGGACACTATTTGTTTCAGAATCTTTTTTTCTTCATTTCCCTTCTCTAAAAACTGGTGGGTCTTATGGTCCGGAGCGTCTTATGGTCCGAAAAATACGGTGTATATATACCATCATGTAATAGTGGGTATCTCTGGATATCACCAGAATCCACATAACTTTTTTCAATAACAGAATTGGGAAAGATACCTGAGGTTGATTCAGGACTCACAGATAGTGCCTTGTGTTCAAGGTTTCCTTGTCATCCTATCTAATAAAGAGGGAATATGCTAATCCATCACTCCATCACTCCATCACAAAGATGGCTGCACCCACAGCTGAGGCCAAGTTCCAATGAGGAGCCTTAACGAGCAATCAGCAGGGACCTGAGGCTATGCCCTCCCCGGTCCCCCATGGGCTTGCTAGGGGACCTCAGGCCACACATTCTGCCCTGGCATCAGGCTGGGGGACCTCAGTCTGTGCCTCCAGCCCTAGCACCAGGCCAGGCCCTGAAGCCCCCCTCCCCCCACTTGGCAGGGCTTGATGGGGACTTCATGACATGCCCCCTGTCCTGGTGCTGGGCCAGGGGACCTGAGGCTACGCCCCATGCCTGGTGGGACTGGCCAGGTCTGAATCTAGCCCAATGGGTGTGGAGGGTGGTAGTGGCTGGGTCTGGGTCTCATGCGATTTTGAGGCACAAGTGGGTGGGAACTTGACTCTGGGTCCTGTGGTGCGCCCCAGATTCTGACAGGAGGAAGGTTTTCATATACATTTTACTAATTTTCTTTTATCTCTGATATGTCTGTTACAGAGAAAGAGCAAATAGCAATACTAAATTATTTCTTCTAATTAAACCCCTTTTAATAAAATGTGCATGAATTTTGTGCACTCAGCCACTAGTCTTATATAATCATCCTATATAATAAAGAGGTAATATGCAATTTGACCTTCACGCCAACACACAAGATGGCCACCCCATTTGGTCAAAGATGGTCAACCCCAAGATGGCTGACAGAATATGACCAGCAGGCAGGGCAGCTGGGGATGACCAGGCTGACAGGTGATGGCGGTAGGGGGCAATCAGGCTGGCAGGGGAGCAGTTAAGCATCAATCAGGCTGGCAGGGGAGTGGTTAGGGAGTGATCAGGCTGGCAGGCAGAAGCTGTTAAGGGCAATCAGGCAGACAGGCAGGTGAGCAGTTGGGAGCCAGTAGTCCTCAATTGTGAGAGGGATGTCTCAGATTGGAGAGGGTGCAGGCTGGGCTGAGGCACCCCAATGCCCCATCCCCTCTCCCACACAAATTCCCGTGCACCGGCCTTTAGTGTAATATGTAAGAACTTAAGACCCGAATGCACTGCAACCCACCGTCTAGCAACACTCATTTCACTTAGCACAGTGGTAAACGACGTTTAGTTAAGAGGGAAGCTATGATGAGAGTATCTTGAGATACAGTTGGATCAAGTTTCTCAAGAAAAAAGGGAAAAGGACGACTTCTGTGCATGTTTCCCGGTTCTAGGCGGGTTGAAGAAGGTGAAACAGTAACGTGGAGACATGCCATTGGAAGTCAGAATTCTGTGCGGTAATTTCCAGTGAAAAACACGGGGGTGGGAGGAGCGGGGAGAGAAGCAGGAGATGGTCCTCCTGAGCCCCACGGTCCCACCAGCTCTCCCAGGGCGCGTTCTCTGTAAGGACAAGCGATCCTAACTAACCCGGGCCCCGCTTCCCACGCCGGCCCCGCTCAGGCAGGCCCAGGTGTCCGGGTCCCGAAAAAAACATCGGAGTCAGGGCCCGACCTCGCAGGCGTGCGGAGGCGGGCGGAGACTTCTCCGCGCAGGGAACAGGCGAGGTACCAATGGCTCCACGTAAAAAATAGTCTTATGAATCGTTTCTGTATGAATGGTCGGCCGCAGCTGGGCCCCACTTCTCCCGGGGCCAGCGGCGCCATGCGGCTCCGCGGCTCCCGGAAGCATCCCACACCCAAGCGCCGCTAGGAGAGAACCGCCCCGAGCTTCCCCGAGGGCGCCCACACCTACTGCGCAGGCGCGGGAAGCTGGGCCTCCAGCCAATCCCTGGCGGCCACGCCCCCGCCTCCGCAGGCGCCGCAGGCCGTTTACTTTCGAACGGCGGCCCCGCGCGCGTTCCCATTGGCCGGCGTCCCGCAAATTGAATGTTGCCGGGAGACCGCACCTGCGTCGGAGGCTCCGCGAAGCCCCGCCCCGTCTGGGCACCTGGAGGCCCTCGGGGCGTCGGAGGGCGGGGCCGCCCGGCAGTTCTCGGCGTCCCGCGTGGAGGCCGGCGAGCTCCGTCCTGGCTCGTGAGGAGGTTGCCCGTCTGCCCCGCGCCGGGTGAGTGCCGGGGGCTTCCCTTCGGGTTCGAGAAGGCGGCGGCGCTGGGCCCCTCTGCTTTCCCCGCGGCCGAGGCTGCGGTCCCGGGTGTGCGTGCGGGAGAGGCGAGGGGCGTGATGGAGGGCGTGGGCAGGGGTCCCGCATCGGTTCTTCACTCCGGCCGCCTTTTGGGGAGTTCGGGAGCTCGCTCTCCTCCCTCCAGCCCGGAGCTGCCTGCCTCTCCGTGAGGAGGGAGCGTCCTCCGGGGCGGGGACGGGGAGCGGAGCGGGGCGCCCTCCCTCCCCGGAGCGGGGCTGCCCCGCGGGGTCGGGCTCCGGCGCGGAGGGCGCCGGGCCGGGGCGGGCGCCTTGGCGGGGGGGCCCGGGCGGACCTCTCCTCTGCCTTTGGGGAGAGGCATCCTGAGCCCTTTTGTCAGAGGTTCTTCCGGGGGAGGTGTGTCTGTGCCCATTTTACAGATGCGAACCCTCGGCTGCATTCTGTTTGAAGGATACATTCTCCATCCTTTGTGGCCAGCGCTGACCCGTCATCCCTAACAGGCTGGTGAGACGCCGTGGTGACTCCATAGTCTAACTTCAATAGTAAAAGTGACCCCGGGTCTCCCAATCCTGTTTTCATGGCAGAACAGAAAGATAAACCAGGCGTAGTGATGGGAATTGAATCACTAATTGAATCACAGTTTGAAGCGGGTAAAAGCTTTCAGGGCCGCGGATGCCTCCTGTCTTCGAACCACCTCTGTGCAATCCACAGAGACTGGGAACGTCTGCCCCGCCGGCACCGTGGTTGGCTGGTAGTTCTCAGAGCCCAGGAGCTACCTGACGTTTTAAAAAATAAAAAAAAAAAAAAAAAAAAAAATATTTTTTTTTTTTTTTTTTTTTTTTTTTATAGAGAGGAAGGGAGAGAGAGTTTGAGACATCCATGAGAAACATCAATCAGCTGCCTCCTGCACACCTCCCACTGGGAATGTGCCCACAACCAAGGTACATGCCCTTGACCGGAATCGAACCCGGGACCCCTCAGTCCGCAGGCCGGCTCTCTATCCACTGAACCAAGCTGGTCTCTGCGATACCTGACGTTTTAAAGGGGGTCCCGTTTATTGGGGCGCAGAATAATTGGGACTTTGAGGGTGAAAATGATACCTCTCCTATCAACAACTGTTGATACTTTTCGCTACTTAAAAAAACACACAATGTGGCAAGAGGAAGGTAAATATCAAAGACAGTGAAATAGAAACCATTCTTGTGGTTTCCAATGTGTGTATGTTTTTTTTTTTAGAATGTAACTTCTGAAACATTAACATTCTTTTGATTTTTAGAAAAAGAATAAAAGAATCTGGAAAAGTTGGACAAGATAAAATATACTATTCAGTCTTCAAACTAGGAAGATCAACAAAGCAGGTAAGCCCTGGGAGATCAAGTGGATATAAAATTTTCAGAAAAATTTTACTCTCTGGTTAAATTGCATAATTTCTTTTTTAGTTTGGGGGAACAGGTTGATGCCAACATGCAGGAAAACAGTACAAATAGGCAGAGTTAAAATTAGATCTGACGGTGGGATTTTTTAATAAAAAAATCTGAATGAGTTATGGTGATCTTTTACTGTTTTGCACAATTTTTATGTACAAAAACATTTTAAAAACGTAGCCTACGTGTATAGGAGATGCAGTTGTAGCGTTTCTAAAGAAGCCTTTAAGTGCATGACATGTGCTTTTTATCAGTTAGGGCCACGGAGACGGGAGCCCCAATCTGGGTGGTGGCACTTTTTGCAGAGTTATAGCTGACTCACACTGTAAGTCCTAGAGCAAGTCATCTCACTCTCTAATGTGGTAAATATTTAGTGACTGTAAAATGTAATGAATGTTTTATGTCCCCTCATGTGTAGAGATGAAAGGCAACGACACATTAGTGAATTAAAACTCAAAAATGTTGTTTGCACAGGAGAGTGGGCGGTGACACTTTTGGTTCTGTTTCATTCTCCATCATCGGTTGCCAGTGCTGACCCATCCGTAACAGGCTGGTTAGACACTGTGGAGACTCCATAGGAAATCAGTCCTCAGCAGAAAGACTGCATACAAAGTTTAGAAATTCAAACATGTGTTTTTGATATTTCAACACGAGAAATTTGTGAAATAATTTGTTACTAGATGATGTAGCCTCAGGTTTCTTCCTGAAAAGATTTTTTTTTTATATTCCTATTTCTTGATGACTTTTCAAAGAGAAGCAGGAAATCTTGAACTAATTACCGATTTTTACTTGGGATTTTAGTACTCATTGGAGGAATATAGCATTTTATATTGGATTAATGAAAGTATATCAGTTTGCTAATGAAAGTGTATGGCTTCAGCTATATATATTTTTTTTTACACCTGAGAATATTTTTATTGTTGTTTCTCGTCAGTAAATTACACATTGGCTGGGTACAGAATTCTAAGGTCATGTTATTTTCCGGTGGGCATTGCTACATTGTCTTCTAGGATTCCTTATTGCTTTTGAGATGTTTTATTTGCTGAGTTGTAACCAACATCTGAAGACGTGGCTGGCTGCATGTCCAAGATGGCTTTTTCACTTCCATGTTTTGACACCTCATTGCTTCTCCAATTGGCTCTCAGCAGAGTAGCCTGGACTTTTTACTCAGTGGTTGTGATTCTAAGAGGCAGCAACCTATCAGGCTAGTTGAGTACCATATGCAGAACCCTTACAGCATCACTTGTGCTGTGTCCTGCTGGTCAGAGCAGTCACACATGTCCTGTCTAGACTTTTTTGGGGGGTTGGAGGGCGGGAGAATAGATTTTATCGGTTGATGGGGGAGTACCAGCGAAGTTGCATTACAGAAGAGCATATGTGGGTGATAATTGTTGTGGCCATCTTTGGAAATTAGTCTCCCCAAGGAGAATTTGGAGACTATTATGTTTTTGTGCTCTTTTTTTTTTTTTTTTTTTAGGTATTTTACTTTTCTGCCAGGATGTTTGTAGTATTTATTGCCTTTATTTTTTTAAAATTTTATTATATTTTAATTGCATGTTAATAGTTGAAATTAAAACATCAGTATTTTAAGTTTATAATGAAAAAAAAAAGCAGTTCTCTGCCCTCACTCTCTCAACTCCTGATTCCTGCACTCCAGAAGCAAGCACTTTAATTTCTTTTAATGATTTCTTTTCATATTTGCTTAGTATCTATACCAGTGGTCAGCAAACTCATTAGTCAACAGAGCCAAATATCAACAGTACAACGATTGAAATTTCTTTTGAGAGCCAAATTTTTTAACATGTAATGCCACTTGTTCAAAATAGACTCACCTAGGCCGTGGTATTTTTGTGGAAGAGCCACACTCAAGGGGCCAAAGAGCTGCGTGTGGCTCACAAGCTGCGGTTTGTCAATCACTGATCATACTAATAAAAGGGTAATATGCTAATTAGACTGGGAGACCTTCTGGACATCCTTCTGGACAAAGCCGTGGTGGCGGGCCCGAGGCAGCGGTGGTTAGGGGTGATCAGGCCAGGAGGGAAGGGCAATTGGGGGTGATCAGGCCAGCAAGGGGGGGCTGTTGGGGGCAAGCAGGCTGGCAGAGAGGGCCATTTGGGGGTGTGCAGGCTGGTAGAGGGGAGCAATTGAGGGTGAACAGGGGAGAGCTCTCTTTCTGGTTTACTGATGGCCATTTTCTTGCTGGATCTTCATATGGTGGACAGCAGAGAGAGAGGAAAAAGAGAGAGGGAGAGGGAAGATGGGTGCATGTTTATTTTTGAGAACTGTCAAAACTATTTTAATCAACATTGAAGTTACTATATAATAAAAGTGTAGTATGCAAATTGTCCCCTCGGCTGGGAGTAAACTAGGGGTGGGGCCAGTGGGGGAAGGAAGGGAGTACCTGGCCAGCAGTCAGCAGCCACTAGAAACCCTATCAGTGCACGAATTTCATGCACTGGGCCTCTAGTTTTTGTATAGAATTTTAGGTTGAAAGCCATTTTTTCTTTTCTTTTTTTAAATATATATTTTATTGATTTTTGTATGGAGAGGAAGGGAGAGAGATAGCTAGAAACATCGATGAGAGAGAGTCATCGATCAGCTGCCTCTTGCACACCCCCTACTGGGGATATGCCCGCAACCAAGGTACATGCCTTTGACCGGAATCGAACCCGGGACCTTTCAGTTTCGGCTGAAAGCCATTTTTTCTATGAGAATATAGGGTGGAGCAAAGATAGGTTTACAGTTGTGAGTACACGAAACTTATTTTTGTATTATTATTTATTCATTAATTATTGAATTATTTATTATTAACAAACTTTTGCCCATCTCTGTATTTAAGGCATTGCTTCATTGACTTATAGGGTCCAGTGTTGTTACATACATACATACAACATAGCTAAAATCCAACATATTTATCCTAGAAAATATACATAGCTGAAGTTTTTTGCTCCTTTTCTTTCCATTAAGAATTTAGGCTGGTTATGGAAAATTTCTGGTGCATAAAATTTCATACTAGTTCCTGGAAGACCTAGCTTCTAAACAATAAACAGCTATATATCTTTTGTTTCTCAGGCAGCAACCAGAGTCAGAAAGTTCCTGGTTTTATAGTTCTTGTCAACTAGGCCTGCTTCTCAGTATCTGACTTCTCATGAATTTGTTGACTAAAATTAGTTCTTAATAAATCAGCAAGAAGAGGCTAGTCCAAGAGTAGAATTTGATTTCTGTATTTTTAAGTTTTTCACACATTTCTGATGAAATTTTATTTAAAATTTTATGTACAAGGTATTATGGAAGTAACTTTGAGACCATATTTGCTTCCATTTTTATATGAGCTCAGGAGATATTTTCTTTACAGTATTGCTAATATCCTCATTTGAAAGAAAGTTGAGCTTTTGGGGTCCCTAAATGGGGTCTTAGAAAATGTTTTGTAGATTTTGACAAATATAAGGCTTTGGAGGGAAAGGTTGCATTCTATTTCAAGGATAATTTTTGTACTTAAACATTAAATAGCTCTAAAATTAAATCTAAATTGAATATATGTCCACTGTTCAAGTTTTATTTACATACTGTTCTGGCCCTTCATGATGTCACTGAAATACTCTGAGAAACGTGTTTTCCTTGGTGGTTCTGTATGATTTCGGAGCTCTCTGTAGATACAGGGTTGAATCATAAAGTCTCCCCAACATGTACTCACTTGAATTTATGTGCAGTGAGTGTCATCCAGTTACGTTAGTTTCCTGGAATGTTTCACAGGTGAAGCTTAGTTTCTGTGTGACACATCCTGGTTTATTAGGGCTCTGAATATTGGTCTGAATGGAGTGTATTTTCTGATGTACTCAACTGTTACAGCTTTTCCTAAGAGTAGAGATTTTGCTGTTTTAAAGAAACAAACAAACAAACAAACAAAACTAAGACCTGACTTTAACATTAGTCTCTTGAAGAGGCAGTGTTACTTGTGAGTGAATGCCTACTATGTGTCATATTTTGTGCTTGGACGCAATTTCTGTCCTTATTGCAGGTTTCCATCCCAATGAGTAGAAAAATGTTACAAAATAAAATCCAGGTAAGTGCTGTGAAGTGTAAGTGCAGCAGTTTAGCTGAGATTAACAAGGGCATCTAATCAGGAGATAAGAATTTGAGATTTGAAGCATGAATGAGTTTGGTTTTGAAAATGGTGAAAGGAGCATAGAGCTAAAAAGTCTAAAGAGGTTTTTATGTTTACTAAAAGTGTAATTTGTTTTCTTCTAAAAAAATATTTTTATTGATTTTTAGAGAGTGGGCAGGAGGAGAGAAACACCAATGTTAGAAGGAACATTGATTGGCTGCCTCTTGCACACTCCTTAGGTTGAGTGTGCAACCTAGGCATGTGCCTTGACCTGGGCACGTGTCCTGCCTGGGAATAGAACTGGCAATCTTTTGGTGCACAAGACAGTGCCTAACCGAGCCACACCAGCCAGGGTGAAAGTATAATTTGTTTTCTCAGACATTTATTTTTAAAGAAATATGTGTCTATCGTTTCACTTTAAAAAAAAATATATATATTTTATTGATTTTTTAACAGAGAGGAAGAGAGAGCTAGAAATATTGATGAGAGAGAATCATTGATCAGCTGCCTCTTGCACACCCTCTACTGGGGAATGTGCCCGCAACCAAGGTACGTGCCCTTGACCGGAATCGAACCTGGGACCTTTCAGTCCGCAGGCCGATGCTCCATCCACTAAGCCAAACCGGTTCCGGCTGTTTTCTCAAACTTTATTAATCTTTTTTTTTTTTTTTTAAATATATATTTTATTGATTTTTTTTTACAGAGAGGAAAGGAGATAGAGAGCTAGAAACGTCAATGAGAGAGAAACATCGACCAGCTGCCTCTTGCACTCCCCCTACCAGGGATGTGCCCGAAGCCAATGTACATGCCCCTGACCGGAATCGAACCTGGGACCTTTCAGTCCGCAGACCGATGCTCTCCCACTGAGCCAAACCGGTTTCGGTTTTATTAATCTTTTTATAGAGGAGGATTTGATAATTACCTGAATGACATTTGGGTTTTTTGTTTTGCATTTCAAGATTCTTGAAACAGTGGTGTGACTTGGGTTAAGACAGACCTAAGGAGTGTGGTTTGCATTGATAGATACAAAGGAGTATTAATGATAAGGTGCAAAACTGTAGGCTTGTTGGAAATTTAATAGCTTCCTCAGAGGTCAAGTTACTTATCAGAGAGGGTCTCCAAACTACTTTGCTCAGCTTCTTGCATTAGAGAGAGATGACTAATGGTACTCTTTACCATGCATATTCTAGTGGTAATTTTTTTTTTTTTTTTTTTACCACTTTTTGAAACTGATGTCTTATTGCAAGGACCAATTAAAAAATGTTTTTCTTTTCTAAATCCTCGAATTAAATTTACTTTGGCATTTCTAGAGTCAAAGTAGCCCTATTGATTCTTCTATCATAAGCCCGTCCTTGTTTCGCTGTCTCCAGCTTTAATAAACGTGCTCTCAAAATTACAAATAAATAAAACACAAATTTAGAGTATTGCATTATGTAAGCACACCAGTCATCCAGTTTAAGAAGCTAAGAAATTTATAAGAGTTACTAGAGAAATTTAGTAACTTGATTTAGAAATTAGGATTGAGCCAACTGAGATCATGAATTCTTTTGAATTAAAGAATGTAATTTTGCTAAGCCTAACTTATTTTAGCATTTTAGAATGTAATAAGTTTCATAGGACAGTTATAATCATTAAGCAGACTTCAACAGAACACTGAATTTAAATCTTCATTACATAGGAACAAAATTAAATAACTTCAATTTGAAGCATTACAAATTAATTAGAATTGTTTTGTTTAGCATGATTTTTGTCCCAAATAAGCTCTTAATGATATTGCATTACATTTAAAAAACCTTAGTAAATATCTTAATTTTCCTCTTTTAAATGACAAGTACAGTATATTAACAATTTGGAGGGTAACAACTAAGACTTTATATATGTGCAATTATCTTTGTTATATGTAGACATAAAATATTTTTTTCTCTTGACAGAAAATGCACAACTTTGAGGACGAGTTAACATGTCCCATTTGTTATAGTATTTTTGAAGATCCTCGTGTACTACCATGCTCTCATACATTTTGTAGAAACTGCTTGGAAAATGTTCTTCAGGCATCTGGTAACTTTTATTTATGGAGACCATTACGAATTCCACTAAAGTGCCCTAATTGCAGAAGTATTATTGAAATTGCTTCAACTGGTATTGAATCTTTACCTGTTAATTTTGCATTAAGGGCTATTATTGAAAAGTACCAGCAAGAAGATCATCCAGAGATTGTCACTTGCCCTGAACATTACAGGCAACCATTGAATGTTTACTGTCTACTGGATAAAACATTAGTTTGTGGTCATTGCCTTACCATAGGCCAACATCATGGCCACCCTATAGACGACCTTCAAAGTGCCTATCTGAAAGAAAAAGATACGCCTCAGAAACTGCTGGAACAGTTAACCGACACACACTGGACGGACCTTACTTGTCTTATTGAAAAGCTGGAAGAAGAAAAATCTCATTCGGAGAAAATGGTTCAAGGTGATAAAGAAGTTGTTCTCCAGTATTTTAAGGAGCTTAATGATATATTAGAACAGAAAAAAAAGAATTTCCTAACTGCTCTCTCTGATGTTGGCAATCTGATTAATCAAGAATATACTCCACAAATTGAAAGAATAAGAGAAATGAGGAAGCAGCAGCTTGAATTAATGACATTGACAACATCTTTACAAGAAGAGACTCCACTTAAATTTCTTGAAAAAGTTGATGATGTCCGTCAGCGTGTGCAGATCTTGAAACAAAGTCCACTTCCCGAGGTCCAACGTATTGAAATTTATCCCCGAGTAAGCCAAGTATTGAAAGAAGATTGGAGCATAACAGAAATTGGACAAGTTAAGAAACTTCTCATTCCTGAAATGAAAATTTCTTCAACCAGGATGCCTTGTTCCTGGCCTGCTGATGAAAAGGAAGTTGAATTTTTTAAGATTTTAAATATTGCTATAGTTACATTAATTTCAGTGATACTGATGTTGATCCTCTTTTTTAACCAACACATAATAACCTTTCTAAATGAACTCACTTCAATGTGTTTTTTTGAAGTCTTTCTTTCTGTTTACCAAAGTTTATCTAACAATCTGCACAATTTAAAGAAAATGCTATATCACACTTTATATTTACTGAAGGAATTCATATGGAAAATAGTCTTTCGTTGAAAATGCAAATCTAAATTCAAATAGGCTTTTTCTAAACAGGGACTAACAACCATTGCTAAGTGGAAAAATTGGGGTTGCATGGATAAATAAAATAGCAAACTAAACTTTATTGGAATTGCAACAAACATATAGAAATATTTTAAACCTTTTATGTTTCTGTTGGATAGAAATGTGTCAGAAATGAAGCAGTGTCTTTGGTTTTCGATGTAAAACCTAGAATAAAATCTAGTTGATTTGAATTTTATCCTTTTTCATGGATTTGAGAACTTGACTTAATATTGCTGTGGCATTTAAACACTGTTTTGCCAATATTGTCTTTTAGCATTAATATGGCTGTAGTGATTGACTTTGCAGTTCTTCACACATAGCTTTTAGAATAAAAGATGGTAAAATCTGGAAAGTACCTATGCACTTGTTTTTGATGTGGCTTTTGCATGGGCAAATAAGAATGGTGACGTTTTGAAATCAAGCAGCAAAGTCTAAAATAAGGGGTTGCTTAAAGATGTTTTTGATCAGACAAACTGGATCCACACATTGTTTTAGATGGATTTGTCTTAAGATGTTTAAAATCTAAGTGTTGTTAGGAAACAAACAGCAACGTTTCCTAAAAAAGTATTTTGTGGTTTGTGTTACTTTAGGGTTATATTTAACTTTTGTGTGGTGTTGCCAACTAAGTTCTTGGATAAAAACTTTTTGAAATGTTATGAATTCCGTCCTCTTTAGATTTAGATAACATGTTAACTGCATTTGTCTTAAAAACTTAAATTTGACCAAGGCCATGTAATATATGACTTGCAAGTTTTTAGTTGACAAAACTTATGTAGTATATATGACTGTAGTCAAGTACAGGCATACCTCGTTTTATTGCACTTTTGCAGAACATTTTTTTTATTTTCCCAACTGAAGATTTAGTTGCACCCCTGAGTCAAGTATACCTGCACTAGAATTACAACTTGCTGAAAACTCAGATGGTTAGTTTTTTGTTTTTTGTTTTTAGCAATAAGCACTTTTAAATTTAGGTGTATATTTTTAAAAGATATAATGGTGTTGCATACTGAATAGACTGCATTAAGTGTAGCATAAGCATAACCTTTGTATGCACTAGGAAACCAAAAATATTTGTTTTATTGTATTTGGTGGATGGTGCCTGATTCTTAAACATGCTGTTCTTTTTTGTACTTTTACTGGGAAGATGAGATTGTGTAAAATTTAAAGTGCATATTAAAATATTTCACATATAACAGAAGTATGTATTTTAATAAACTATATATTACTTATATTGTCTTAATAAGGCACTCAAACTCGAGTGGTAACTTTGTATTTTTCATATGGGTTGTGGGTGGGTATCATGCACTTTGTTATTAAAGTGTAATAAAATACTTAATTCCATTCACCTATACTCTAATGAAAAAGCTCTTGATTATAATTATAGCCTTTTAAAGTTACTTTTCCCTTCCATGATTGAAAACAAATAACCAGGCTATGACGTGTCACCCTGTTGATCAGCGGGGTTGATTTGGCTGGTCTGGCTAGTTTGTGCTGGTCTCTTTCCTCACCACTCCATGTGACTCTCCCAAAGCTGTGCAGGTTTAACCAGAGTTTTTCTATCAAGGGATACACAAGTAATTGCTCCCCTGTTAGAGCCTCCAAACAAAGCCCTCAAGGTCCATTTGTAGGAAAACGATATCAAGCTTCCAAGAATCCAGACACATCCAAATGAGGCAATGCCTTTTTTTCCACGAGGCAAAATTAAACGGGCCAGCCTGTGGGGCTCAGTGGTTGAGTTTCCACCTATGAACCAGGTCACATACCAGGGCTGTGGGCTAGATCCCCAGTGTGGGGCGTGCAGGTGGCAGATGATTAATGATTCTTATCGTTATTTCTATCCTTCTCCATTCTCTCTGAAATTAAAAAACAAATGACCACACTTGTTTAAGATCTTTATTTAAATGCACACTAACGTAATTTACATTTTGAATGGCTGTTATGATACAGACCTCTGTTGGATTTTTACTACCTAAATAATACTTTACTGAATAATGAGCTAATGAACTGTTAAGTCCTCAGGATCAATATCTAGAAATTGAACAGTAAAGACGAAGACTTCTGATTCAATACCAAAATGCCTTCTGAAAACCAAATGGTTGCCAACTTATTTCCAGTAGCGTAGTTCTTGAGCTAATACAGTGTCAAATAACAAAAATTGCCCTGCAATGGGCAGGCAAAAAAAATCCATCTTAATCGCCATTTACAGAGAAGACAACCCATATATATTTCATTCTTTTTATGAAGCAACTGTAGCAGGTAGTCTTTCCATCACTGCATGCAATATCCTGGTCGTGTTTAGACTTTCTCAGTTTGCTAGCCTTCTTGCGTTTTAAACACCAAGTGTTAGAAAAACATGAACTCTCACCCTAACAAATAAAAATGACTCATAAAAAATATGCTCCCAATATTTGGGTAAAAACAGTGATTGTCTAAATTAGTAAATTAACCGAATGCCTTTGGAATTTATAAATTAGAAGTTGGCAAGTCTTTCCACTGTAGGTCAAAGGTCCATAAGAGTATGTTGTATCTTGGTAACATCAACTAGTTTAGAACTTGAATGTTAACATACTTTTAATTCTGCTGGTAGCAATATGGGGGGAAAAGGGCAGTACCTGAACTCCAGGCATCTTGTTTTCTCCATAGTCTGCTGCTTACAAAATTGTCAGATTCTTAAAATCTCCTAGAAGCAGGCAGGATATTTTTATTAGACTTGTAACAGCATAAAATAGAAGGCAGTTTACATAATCAAGTTTAGGAATATGAATATTATACATTTATAATCCTTTACACATATAAAAATCAGTAATATAATACACCAAGTCTGCTGATTCACGTCGATGAGTCTTCAGTATAAACAAGTTTAACACAGTCCTTTAGATGCAATTTCTTTTGGGTTTACTGCAACACTTTTTGTTATATTGTATGTCTTATAAATTCCAATAAGTCTATCTGAAATCTCAAACATATTATTTCGAAGAGAAATGATTATGAACTGGGCATTTTTTGTTTGTTCCTAAAGAGAAAGAAATAAGAAATATTAAGTATTAAAAGGTACATCATATAATAAAAATCTAAGCTTTACTTCTATTTTAGGCAATAAAATTAACAATATTGACAATAAAAATAAACAGGAATGATGGGATGGATAATTTTTGAAAGAGTATTTGGATTTGAGAGGAATTTGAGGTTTCTAGAAGGATGGTTGTTTAAAAAGTCTTAGTTAAAAAAGAGATCTAGCCTGGTTGGTGCAGCTCAATGGTTGAGTGTAGACCTATGAACCAAGAGGTCATGGTTTGTTTTCTGGTCAGGGCACATGCCTGGGTTTGTGGGCTGGATCCCTAGTCAGGAGCATTCAGGAGGTAGCAAATCGATGATTCTCTCTCATCATTGATGCTTCTCCCTTCCTCTCTGAAAGCAATTAAAAAAAGATCTAGGCAGAGAGAGAATATTCTACTTGTGTTTCTGCTACCAATTTATTATTTTTAAAAATATATTTTATTGATTTTTTTACAGAGAGAGAGAGAGAGAGAGGGATAGAGGGTTAGAAACATCAATGAGAGAGAATCATCGATCAGCTGCTTCCTGCACAACCCCCACTGGGGATGTGCCAGCAACCAAGGTACATGGCCTTGACTGGAATCGAACTTGGGCTCTCAGTCCGCAGGCTGACACTCTATCCTATGAGCCAAACCGGTTTCGGCTCTGCTACTAATTTAAATTATCAAGTTATATTTTACTTTTCCAAAATGGAAATATTTGGTTCAAGTAAAGGACTTTGCCTCCTTTGATATGTCAGGACATAGTTAGAGAATAGTTTGGAAAAAAACCTCAAGTAATAAGTCAACGAATTCCATGTGCAATATCTGAATGAATTCCATGTGTAATATTTGATGAACGCATAAAAAATTTTAGGGTAGCCGAATCCGGTTTGGCTCAGTGGTAGAGTGTCGGTCTGCGGACTGAAAGGTCCCAGGTTCGATTCCGGTCAGGGGCATGTACATTGGTTGTGGGCACATCCCCGGTAGGGGGTGTGCAAGAGGCAGCTGGTCGATGCTTCTCTCTCATCTACGTTTCTAGCTATCTCTCTCCCTTCCTCTCTGTAAAAAATCAATAAAATATTAAAAAAAAATTTAGGGTAAAAACCTCTAAATGATTACTTACATATATGTAAAACGCAACAATGGACACATTTTTAAAATCAAGGGCTGCATCAATCTCATCCATGAAGTACAGGGGCGTGGGTTTGTAGTGATGAAGAGCAAATACTAAAGCCAATGAACTAAGTGTTTTCTCTCCTCCTGAAAGGTTGAAGATCTTCTTCCAACTTTTCTTAGGTGGTCGAACACTGAAATAAGAAAATCTTATTAGTCCTTTTTTGGGAATTTCTAACTTGTTTTTCACCATACCAGACTTTTGGGGTAATTTTATAAAACGGTTATTGGAGGATGAACTCATAGGAACATCTACCAAAAATTTAGGACTTAAAAAAAAAAAAAAAATCAGGCTAATAAGTACTTCTTTGCTATTCTTCCCCCATTTCCAATGTAATTTTTACTCTGCAATTTTAAAATCCTTATGTTAAACTGAAATGACTAAGATTTAAAAAAAGATGTGTAAAATTAAATACTTGTTTGCCCAGAATTTATGCTCTAAAACTGTCAATATATAATTTAGTATTTAGCACTTAACAAAACAAGTTGTGTATTCTTTAATCTTCATATCCCAACCCTAAAAAATACTAAGAATCTGGAGAAAGTATAGAGCTATCTATAATGATAAAATGCTAATTAGACTGGACAGCCAAATGAGCTTCCGGATGAAGCTGGGGATGTGAGGGCTGAGCCCCTTGCATGAATTTCGTGCATTGGGCCCCTAGTGTGATGTAATAGGAAGATACAAAACTCAGCATTTAGTTACAAACCTGAACATGATTCCTTCAGAGAAAGGATCCAAGCTGTCTACAAGCTCCAATTCAGCATCGCCTCCCAAAGTAAGCATTTGGTAATTCTCCTTTAATTTATTTGTTATTATATAAAAACCTGCCATGAATTCATTAAGCCTTTGTTTCCGGAGATCTTCATATGCCTGTCTAAAATTATCTCTTTCATGAGTAATTTTGTCCAATTCTGCTACCCGTTGTAAGTATAATTCTTCCTATGAAAAGAATGTTTTTGTGAGAATAAATAGCTATTCAGTTTTAAATTTGAGATGAGAACTTTTAATTATATAAAATTAAAGGTCACAATTTGGGCTGAGGATAAAAAAAGAATTTTTGGTTATTCAGTAATAATTTATTCATACCTTCTTTTTATATTCAGCAATGGCACCAAGATTTGGTTTCATTTCATGACACTGGGCTTCCAAAAGTGCAATTTGATTTGTTATAGAATCTGGATTCTTGATTGCTTCAAGATCCTCTGGGCTCAGAACTAAAATCTCTTCAACAGGATTATCTTCTATGGGATGCAGAGATATTCTGGAAATCTAAAAGTTCAATGAAATTAAGAGTTAGGGAGGGCACAGTACTGCCATTCATTGTTTAAAAAGAATCAAAACAATATGACAATTTACCTACTAAAACAACATATACCAAAGATTTGTGACTAATTTGTGTATCTACTTTTCAAAGGGTTTCAAGAAAAATATCAATAATTGTAGCATTCCAAATTCTGTTAAATTTCCAAATCAACCCATGGATGAAAATGTTAACTACTTCTAAAAATTACCCAGATTTTTTTTGTATTTAATATTGCTACATATTGTTCCTAATGTAACCTATAAACCTGGGAAGTGATTATATCATGAATTAAGAATCATAACATACCCAAACACACACATTAGCTAAATGATAATCTCACCTCTTTCTGCCAATATCTTATTTTAGAATTATGTT